GCCATATACTGGGTCGGAAGCCCAGTTCTCTGCCATACTCATTAGTTGTTTTTCTGTCTTCATTGTCCACTTTTATAAAATACTGAGGATCATGCCTACCTCACCAGGTTTGCTGTGAGGGTTATTGAAATAATGTATGTATGTCTGGCCCCAAAACGACCATTCATTCCATAATGTCTGGGACTTGGTGCCTTCCTGGGTGCTAGTTCCCTGTGCCCATTGGTGGATAGGTTGATGGTTTCTCTGACTGGGCAGCTGTTAAGGGAAAGGAATTTCCAACCCCCTTCCCTGCCCATCTAACCTCTTGGTGAGCCTCAGCACCTAAGAGGAAATCTTACCCCATCCCACATCCTGGAGGATGCTGTCCTTGGTGTAGGATCTGTATTTACCAAGATCTGTATTACTGCCCCACGCTCAGGGTCGATTTCTTCTGCACTCTGCAAGGCTCGTCTGCATTTGTCACCCACATCCCTTCTCTTCCCTTTTTATATCCTGTTTTTATATTGATTTCTCATTTTACAATAAAACTTTGCTACCACCTGTGTGTCTGAGGAGTAGGTGCCAGTGCAGACTGCTTGGGGCTGACGGTACAGGGGTGAGTAAGGGGGGGACACTGGGTGACAGCCACCTGAGCCTCCAGGGAGTGTGGGCTAAGGGGCCCAATGCCGGGATTCCGAGAGGAGAACAAAAGCAGGAGACTGGGTCAGTCCGCAGGCTGCATGACAACAAGGGAGGAGAGAAGTCCATTCATAACTCGGGAACCAACTGGCCCTCCCCCCTCCTGCCAGGACTGGCACAAGGTTCTCTCCTGCCCCTGCTTCTAGGGTTGGGCTGCTTCCCCCTCAGCAGCCTCTTACCAAGGATTATGGGATTTAAATGTCTGACATAGTAAGCTCGAGTGTCTGGGGTGGCCATCTGCTCCATAGGAAAGGGACAGAATACCTGAGTTCCCCAGGGGAAAGAAGGTGGGTGGGTGCTACTAGGTGAGGCGAGAGAGCTGGGGAGGCCTGCCAGACAGGGTCCCAGAACGTGGGGGTGGCTAAGGTGAGGGCTGGGATGCGGGGCTGGGGCCTTCCCGGCATCCCCTCATCCTGGGCCTCATGCCAGGCAGTTGAATGAATTGAAGCTTTAGACTCTGCCAGGAAAACCTTTCAAAGGACTTCTTAGGGTAAAGAAGGGAGCCGAGGTTGGGGAGCTCAGTACCCCCAACCCGTCTTGTTCCTCAGTACTGCTGGCTCCCAGGGTGGGGGGCTGGGGCAAGCTCTCCCCATCTCCCATGGCTGCCCAAGCCAGTGCTTGGAGGGGTGGTCAGAGAGAGGAGACGGCTCGTCCTGCCTCCTCACTGGGGACAGAGGGTGGGGTGCTAAGATCCAGAGGGGCTTCTGGGGCCACTGTCCTCGGCCTTAACCAGCATCAAATGCCCGTGGGCATCCCTTGGCTTGCCTGAGGATCCCAGATGGCTGTGAAGTCACCAGCCTCCCTGGCCTCAAAGCTACCTTTTTTTCTCTCTCTGGGGAATGCCAAACACTCCCCAGAAAAGCTGGAACCACCTCTTTTTTTGTTTTGTTTTGTGTTGTTTTGTTTGTTTGTTTTTATTTTGGTCTCATTAATTTACAATTACATGAGGAACTATGTTTACTAGGCTCCCCCCTTCACCAAGTCCCCCCCACATACCCCATTAGTCACTGTCCATCAGCGTAGTGAGATGCTGTAAAATCACTACTTGTCTTCTCTGTGTTGCTGGAACCACCTCTTTTAGAGACCTTTAACTTCACCGTCTCTCACCGCTCACCAGGGCCTTGGGAAACCAGAGCTCTTGAAACTCATTCCCTCTCCTACAGAATGGTCACCATGAAGCTCCCTTACTGACCAGCATCTCACCCGCCACCACCCTACATTTCCCTAGATCGTGTCCACAGGCTGTTTTCACTTCTGCTATACTTAAGAAAGCAGATCTTTCTGGCTGTGCGATACCTCTGTGAGCTGATAGATTCCTGGACTAATTATGAGGCCTAGGTTTTCAGGCGAGTTCTACTATGAGCTGCATGACCTTTTGTGAGTCCCTAACCTCTCTGGTGCCACCTGCTCACGTGCCATCTGCTCATGGCCCTCTGGTTGTGTTCATTCAGTCATCTGTCTAGTCAGCAGACATTCACTGGTAGGTCACTCTGTGCCCAGCACTGTTCTGGGTTACGGGATGACCCTTGCCCTCCAGCTCAAAGAGCCCTACACCACTGAGATTTGGAATTAAAAAACACCTACTTGATTTCAGGAACAGAGGGTCCCCAGATGTGTGAGACCCAGCAAAAGCTGGACTCTGAGGACAATGTATACACATACATGCTTTCATTATTTTTTTTAAAAAAAACCTGGCATGCATCATAAAAATTAAAGACAAATTATGGAAAGAAAGCAAATTTGGTTAAAAGGTTAAATCCAGGAGCAGGGAATTTTTTAGTAAGTACATTAAAAAAAACTCAAGAGCTTGACGAAAAAAGAAAGCAAGGACCAGATGGTCCAATGTTACTATTCTGGGCCATGAGAAAAGAATGACATCACCCATTCATGTAAAATTACTGTGGATCATTAATATTAAGACATGATAAAAATACCAAAAAATCAGGAGCCAAATTGATAAAGAAATGCAAAAATTCTCAAAATAGTTAATGAACCAAAAGAATATTAACACTATAAGCAAGTAGGGTTTATTCCAGAAGCACAAAGTTGGTTTAATAGAGAATCTATCAACATAATTCATAACATTAACAAATTAAGGAAGAAAAATTGATCATATCAACATGCTCAAAGGAATTTGATTAAATTCCAACAGGCATTCCTTTACAAAAAACTTAATTAAACCAGGAATGTAGTACCAGTAAGTATTATAATCCTAATGGTTAAACACTGAGGCAATTTCAATTAAAATAAAGAACTAAAAAACTATATAGGGATGCCTGCTAACATGGTCTTAGAACATTCAAAAGGATCCCCCACAAAAAAAATTGGTGAAAATGTCTGCTTTTTTGATCATACAACTACCTAAAAACTCAGAGATCATAATAGAGATCTGATGGAATTAAAAGAATAAGGTAGAGAGTAGAGAAATATTTTTTATCTTCTTGTAGAAAGTACAGAAAAGAATGGAAAAAATCCATTCAAAATAAAACAATACAATATTAAGGAGTAATAATAAACAAAAATAAGCCCCAAGAAAATTAATGAGTTGCACACATAAAAAATAATGGTCCAAGACAAAATTAAACTAATAACAGATACTACACTTGATCTCAGCCAAAAGGCCGAGAAGCAATCCATCCAAGACAAAATTTATAGATCCTTATTTAAGGACATAAACCAAGCTTCAAACAAAAAGAATGTTCTTAGGTGGGAAAACATCCTACAAAAATCAGTTCTCCTAAAATAAAGATATATAATGCAATCCCAATTAGAATCCCAAGTTCTTGATGGTTTTGTTCTTGTAAATTGGATACATTTATAAATTTGTAGAGAAGACTACGTGCTCAAGAAAAGCCAATAGCTGTTTTAAAAAAAGAATAGGGTGAACCTACTTGCCTTGGTAGATATTAGAAAACAGCACTATCAGAATCAGATCACTATGACTCAGTGTATGAAATAGTACACAAGCCAGGGGCAGCAAGTAGTGAGTCCAGAAGTGATCATAGCATAGAGGAAATTTCATTAGATGGCCAAAGCTGGCATTTTAATGTAATGGGAATAAGTGATGTGTTCTTAAAAAGATTAAGCTGACACACCTGACAAAATAAAACTGGATTCCTACTTTACACCACAAATGAAAAGTAAACCAGATGAATTAAAATGAAGGTAAAAATATGAAACAAATCCTGTCCCCTCAAAAACTTCCAGAAAATATGAGAACTAAGTATGTTTGAAAGCCCAACACTTTAACAGTAAAAGAAACCAAACTTGGCAGAAGAGTCAACTGGGGTAATTTTTGCCATGTAGAAAACAGTTTATATATCTACAGCTGTCAAGGAGTCTAACAAATTAAAAGAATGACCCAGAGAAAAATATCATGCAACCACTTTTAAAAAGTGTTAGAGAACCTACGAAGTGTAGTGGACTTGAGAAATTTATCAAGTGAAAAAGATGCACAGAAGTGTGTATAACATCCAATTTTGAGGTCCATGACCAAAACCCAGTGAATTCGTGTGTGTGTGTACTTATGCCTTAATGATAAAATTGTGTATGTGTGTGTGTATATATATATATACATATATATATATATGCATATGTAGTAAAGCTATTTTTCAAGGCAAATACTAAGGCCAATTCACTCCAACAAAAGTAAGCCCCAAGAAAATTAAATTAGCTCTAAACCCATCACCATATCACAATAAACACTGTTATGTAGACCTATACATTTTTTTTCTATGCTTGTGTGTACTTTTACCCAAAACTAAGATCATACTGTTCATATTTTGAGATGTTTCTCCAGTCAGTTTTTCTCACGTCTCTATAGGCATTTGCTGATGCTATCCTCTCTCACCCAGCCATCCATTCCTCAAGCCTCTCAGAAACCTTCCCTTCAAAGCCCACAACACAGTAGATGACCACTCTAAATGTTGTCGTTTCTCCCCTTCCTGGAAGTACATTTAGGTCTACCTTGTATGAGTTTCTCATGGGCTCCTCACCTCTCCGGTTAAGCTGGGGAGATCCTTGGGGGCAGGAACTCTGCCTCTTTCATAAGTGTGTCCTCACAGTGCCTAGAATGCACAGAGGCACTTTATAAGTTAAGCTACACAACAGGTAAGAGGCTTCCTGCGTCTCTTTGTACTGTGCAATCTCGAGATGGTATAGGCGAAGGGGGAATCTAGGAGGTAGATAGATGCTTGAACACAGGACGGAAAAGGTCAGAGCCAGGGAGTGGCTCCCAAGGCCTGGGTAACCCCTGAATCACCCCAATCCACCTTCCCAGGACTCTTCCAAATGCTCAGAAAGGAACAACCTGCACACAGGGCTTCATGTATGATATATATTTTTATATATACTTGCTCTGATTTTATTGTACTTTATCCTCTTTTTACAGTAGATCTGACACAGGCATTAAATAACTGTAGAGAGACCACAGGGGTGAGGGGAGTGCAGGAAAACATGGGGACCCGAAGGGAAGAGAATCGGATCCAGGGAGAGAGAAAGGGGAGGGTCTATCTGTGGGTAGGGCGTTGGGGATGCAGCATCAGAAAGAAAAGGGAAATTAGGGAGGTGAGGACATGAAGGGAATTGAAGGGCATTTTAAAGAGTTAAAACACCTTTATAACCAAGAACACAGGAGGCCCCTCGGTAAACGTTCTGTGGTCACTATGCGGTGCTTCATCAAAGTCAAGGGGTCTGAAGGAGCTGGAGCCAAGAAATTCAGAGCCTACACTGAGGCGATCTTTGCCACTTTCTGGCTGACATGCAGAGGAGAGGTAAGTCAGGAGTTAGTGATTAGTTGGTAACTTGGCTAACAGAAGCCAGAGGCTGGTGGGGTCAGCGCTGGGCCCTAGGGAAGAAGGTGGAATAATCCCATAGCCAGCTGATGTTTCCCAGGTGGCCACAGGGGACCAGGCCAAATGGCTGACCCTCCCCTGGGCTCCTGGGAAGTGGAACTTGGATATTCTGGGAAAGAGAACGGGGCGGGGGAAGGGAGCCATTGGCAAAAACAAAGTGGATATTCAGCCTAGGTCAACCCCACCCCTCTGAGGAGGGCCTCCTGGGGTGATTCAGAACAGAAAGAGAATTTTCAAGAAGAACCAAGTGGGGCTTCTCTTCTAGACCCTCATTCCCAGTTCAGGCAGTCACCATAGGGTTAGAAGCTGAATATGCCAGGAAATAGGGAAAAGGCCACAGACCCACCTTGTCCTCGAGTACAAAGGGCTGCCTTTCAGAGGGGAGAATGGGGATGAAGAGGAGGTGGGGAAAGACCTGCCAGAGGCGCCAGATAAATCAAAATCCACAAAGACAGCAACTGTGTAGACCAGGCAGAAAGTGTGGGAGATAAAGGTGAGTAACCACACTGGTGTCTGGAAGCTAAGGGGCAAAATGACACGTGTACATGTGTGTGTGTGGAGGTGGGCAGGCGGGCTTTTTCTATAGCTCTTAGGATAGGAGGGCCAAAGAGCTGGGTAGCTGTGGGGACACACCCTCACAGCTACACCAAAACCAGAATGGTTCCTAACTCTTGTGTGACCATCTTCAGATCCCATCTCCCTGACTGACTGATCTTGGGTCAAGAGATGGTGGAAAATGTATGAAGGCAGGGAATCGCAATGGACATCAGGCTGGGTTCTGAAGTAAAGGAAAAGGGTGTGAGGCCCAGACAAATCATAGCTCTGTTATAAAAAATACCTTTGGGGTGGGTGAAGGAGGGATCAGGCAGGGTCAGGGACATTCCAGAAGCATCCATAGGAAAGAGGTGGGGGCAGGAGGAAGGGGCCTCAGGTTTTGTTGATGCGGAGTTTGAAGGCCACACGGCCAGCGAACTTGTCTCGCTCATTGTCTGTGGCGATGTTGGCAGCATTGATGCGGCATTCCACATTCACCTCCACATTGGGGGTCACATTCAGGAACTTCACGGCCACCAGGGGCTGCGTGTAGTTCACCTGGGCCAGAGGAAGAGTGAGGGTCCAGGCCCTTGGCACCTCGGTCTCCTCCCCAAGGACCCATCCGCTCAAGGAGCAACATCCCTGGCCTCCCATGGGACTTACGTGGAACTTTTTGCCATAGTAGGGGAAGTACATGAGGTCGATGCTGCCATTAGCAGGGAACATGACAAAGCTGCCCAGATTCTCAACATCTTCGTCTCGCTGTAGGGATGCAGGAGGTTGGAGAAGAGCATGTCAGGGGTGGCAGGAGCCCTGAAGCTTGCCAGACTTCTCTTTGTTCCTTCACCCCAAATCACTGTCTCAAATGGGTTTCCCTTGAGCCGTGGGTCTGTGTGTGTGTGTGTGTGTGCATGTGTGCAGAAGGAGTCCTGTCTGTGTCATCAAACTGGGAAGTCCCAAAGGGCGCTAAAGATACTACAGCCTCCTGCTGGGCTCCCACCCCAAGTTCTTACCCCATCTGCAGGAATCGGTTTCTGGAGCAGAGCCAAAACAGAACAGATAAATGAGTAAAGAAGGGTTCAGTAGGAAGCCAGGGGGGCGGGTGAGTGAAGGGGGGCAGGAAGTTTCTAGAAAGGACAGAAGTAGGGGCAGTAGGGTTCCAAGGACAACTCAGTGGTGGCAGATGGTACTAACAGATCAGAAGCTACCAGACACCTAAAAAGAACTGAGGAGTTCAGAAGGAGAGCAGAAGACCTGGTTATCCGGGAACAGAGCAGAAGGTGGAAGGGCTAGGGAGAGAAGCCAGAGGCCAAGGCGTGGGTGGAGTCAAGGAGGCAGGCGTCTATCCACACAAGAGCAGGGTCCTACATTCTAGAGAGAAGCAAGAGGAGTGGGGGCCCCCTTGGAACCCACTCTTACCCCCTTGTCCCTATAGTTATGGGGCCTCTGGGAGCCAAGAAGTTAGAAAGAGGTGAGTGAATTACATGGAAACCATGAAGGACAATCAGGTGGGCCAGTGGCAAGGCCCCGCAAACTCACCTTCCCCACACAGGTAACACTCATGCTCTGATTTGCTCCTGCATAAAAGTTGATGACCTGGAATGAGGGGAGAGAAGTGAGGGTTAGGGAAAGAAGTTGTCAAAGACACAGTATTTGGCCGTCCACCCGTGGGACCCAGGCTCCAGTGGAACCATCTCTGTTCTCTCAGCCCCTGAACCAGCCCAAAACCTCTCTCATGCCCATTAGCCCCAGTGAGGGCAGGAAGCAACTGCCAGCAGATAGTGGCCCAAGCTCCATCCTCCGTTTTCCCTTGACAGGTACCCGGTTCATCTTGATGAAGACACAGGGCTGCCCAGTGCTGTAACCATAGTGGGTTGGGTCCCCGATGCCAGAGCAGTCGCCCAGCTGGGTCCTGTTGAACTGGCAGGCACGTTTCGGGTAGTTGAGGACTCCATTATCTGGCTGTTCATAATAGTGCCCAGGTCGGCAGGCATCATTCTTTTGAGCTTGGATGGAATCATTGTAAGCTAAGGAGGTGAGAGAGAGAGTCAAGGGCCTAATGGTCCACTTTCAGGGTCCCCAGTCCCCTGCGCAAGGTCCTGCACAGCCGCATCACTCGTCCCACACTCACGCTCCAAAAACTTATTGAGCTTCTGAACATGTTGGTCCCAGCTTTCAGTGTCACTGACGTTGACGATGACATCAAGGTTCTCAGTCTTGGGGCGAATCATCAAGCCTATAACCAACAAAGGCACAAGTGGGGAGTATATAGAAATGAAGGGCCACATACAGAGGGCAGAAGGCGGACACGGAAACAGCAGGGTGAGGGACAGCGTGAGGATCTGAGATGTCATCCTGTGAACATGCGCCCCTCCCCAGATCCCATAGGTCTCCGCTGTGGGAGATGGGAAGGAAGGCAGACTTCCCCACACAGGGTGACTGGACTGGTTCATCAGAACCAAACCTCTAAGAACTGTGAGTTCTTCTTAGCCTGTGAGTTCCATCGGAGGCTCATGGACACAAGAGAAGTTAGCGTGGCTGGTGGGGGGCCTCATCACTCACCCGGTGTAGCCAGCCGGTCCTGGTACTTGGGGGTATGGTCAGAGACAGTCTGCAGCATCACCCACATGGTGAGGGTGAACATAGCCGTAAGGAAGCCATAGAAGACGAGGTAGAAGAGGAGGATAAAGGCTAAAGAGGAGGAAACAGGGTCGGCAGGTTCAAGTCCCCCATGACAATCTCACCTCCCTCCACCTCCCTCTCCCACGCAGAGGCTCTGCACTGGGACGGGCTGCAGAGCCTTGGGGACATCTTCGAGACTTCCCCAGGGAGCAAAATGAGACAATCTGGAATCGGGCAGTGTGTCTGGCTTCAGTCCCGACTCCCAGCCCCTTCCTGGTGAAGTCCAACTCTGTGGAGGCCACAAGAGACCTCAACTGTTGTTGCTGGGCAACCCCAAGTATAGGCTCCAGTTATTTTGCCTCAGATTACATTCCCAACCTCTCAACCATTCATGGCCCTGAAAAGGCACATCTGTTGCCACTATATTGGTGCCCATGCTTAAAGCTGTCCAGCACGATGACTTTTTGAGTTGGCACTGGCCACCACTCACAACCAAACTCTCATCCTTCCCCTCAGAGTGTGGACCGTTACACTGAGAGTGAGATCTGCTCTCTCCCGGTGCCCCACAGAAGTCAAACGTTGAACACAGCTCCTATCTAGCTACAAAATCAGACACAGCTGTCCAGAAGCTCAACAGCCACCCCACCCCAAACTGAACACACAGCACCCAGGGAAGAGGCAGGGAGTAGAGGCAGAATCTCCCCACAGCTTTCCTGGCAGAGAGCAGGTCCTTAGTGGATGTGACACATCACTCCACTGCCCTCAGCCTAATGTAAGGGCCTGCCGTTTCCACCAGCCACGACCCCAGGCCTTCACCTCAGAAGACACTTCTTCTATGAAGCCTCCTCAGATTCTCCCATGCAATCATGGACATCCCCCAATTCCAGGGACTGGCCTTCGAGTTCCCTGAGGGCAAGGACTGCACAGGCCCACCTCAAGGGTGGGCTGACAGGGGCAGTGTTCAGTCAGCGTGCATGAACTGTAAATTCTGTCCTCTATAGGTCTTCTATGCTTTGACTTCCCAGCTTGACAATCCCTTTTGGAAGAATGCCACCACCCCTCACCTGCACCCATGCCCAGTATAGACAGACCCTCAATCAGACACAACTCTCTCCACACCCACTCCCGGAGTCCCGCCACGGTACAGGTGGGTCAAGTCTCAAGCCGCCCCAACCCCATAGGCACACTCTGCCCGATGATGTACGCAGCTCACCACTAGTGACCACTCCTTCCTCCGCTTGCGACATCTGAGCCAAACATCCAGCCTTGAAAACCTCACAGTGTCACCCCTCTCCAACAGCCCCCACTCACAAAGCCGCCGCAGAAAGCTCCACGCTGGGCAGTGGGATACAGACTACTTCCGCTGTGAAGAACCCACCCCCACTCCCCCACCTCTCCAAGACCCGCCCCCTCCTGAATGTTCCCAGGGTGCAGGGGATGGGCATGAGCTAAAAATAGACGGGCTTGGCTAACTAGTGAGAGCCGGAGGGGGGAAGGGGCGCTCTTCTGAGGAAGGGGAGTACGGCCGTGTGCATCGAACCTGCCCGGAGGGAGCGCGAGCGCCGCGGTGCCGACAGGCAGGCAGAGCCCGCGACCCCCCGCGCGAGGGGCTCCGCGGGGGGCGGGATGGCGGCAGTGACCTACTTTCTCCGCCTCCGCAGCGGCCGGCCAGGAAGATTAGACCGGCGATTCGACCCCCTCCCCGCCTGGAGCCTGGCAGGGGGGCCGGACGCCAGGGACCCGGGAAGGCAACTGGAGCTGAGCCGGCGGGACCTCGTGCCCCTGGGGCGTCGCCCCGCGGATTTCCACCCGCCCCTCGCGCGCGACCGGCCCCGCGTACCCCAGCTGGTCCCGGTGCGGCCCATGAACTGGTGCGTCCTCGGGTTCCACACGAACTCCTTCCACTCCTCAACCACCTGCCCGCAGCTCTTCTTCTCTTTCTGTATGACCATCTTGGCGGCGGGAGGCGAGTCTCGCGCAGTGTGGGGGGCTGCGGAGAAGCTGGGGTGCGGCGCACTGAAGCCCCTCTAGCACCGGAAGCAAAGGCAGCGAGGGCGATAGAGACCCTCCTCAGATATGCAGCTGCTGCAGATTCCGGGGCGCACGGCCACGCTCTGCGGGGTCCTGGCAGAGCAGCGTAGGATGCACTGATCCTAGGCCCCACCGACCGCGATGAAAAGGGGGATTTCAGAGCAGAGGAGGATGAAAAGGGGAAGGGGTGCTAATGCAGTCTCACCCTCCAGATCTCCTAACGAAAATGGATGCACAAATAGACGGCTGCAAAACCCAAGCGAAATGCAGAAAAAAACGGGGTGCAAGGAGGCAGGAAGAAGTGGGGGAGGGGGCCGCCCCTAAAACCAAGATGCAGAGAGGCTGTGGAGAGGGGCCAGGTGACCGCTCAAGGCTCTTCCACCAAGTGGAGACCGCCACTCCGCTGGTGGCTCGTTCGCGGGGGTGGGGTAGGGACGCGCAGTTGGGGAACAGCCGGAGATCTGGGGTGGGTTCCCGAAGCAGAGGCTCCGCTCCTCAGCAGTGCGGAGCCGGCGGTCGCCGCGCGCAGTCTTTATACTCGGCGGCTCTGGGGGTGCCCGCCCCCTTCCCACCCCCAGAAGCCCCGCCTCCTCGCCTCTGGCCCGGGCGACCTCATACATATGCAAATATGGAGAAAGTGATTGGGCCCGCCCCCCTGCCCTCCTCTGGACCAGAGGGTCTCTTCTTCTCTTCCCTACCCGCACCCGACACTGGACTGGATCAGGGTCGACGGAGGGAACTCAGGGAGGGTCCGGGCGGAGTAGAGGGAAAGATAAGATCGGAGAGGTACAGACACGCTGAGGGAAGCAGACTTATGCTGAGATGGGGGCCCCCAAGACAGGGAGTTGGAAAGACACTAAGATCCAGGAGACAGGGCCGAATGTGAGAGGAATAAAGAAAGGGCCAGAAACCAAGAAAAACAGAAGAGACCAGCGGGAGTGCTAGACCAGGAGGGACAGAACCTAGACCAGGACACATAGAGACAGGCATAGGCCAACACAAGGGGAAAATATACTTGTGGGAGCTGCTACCACCGCCCCCAACACCTCCTTCTCCAGGTCCCACAGCCCCTTCTTCCCGCCACCTGCTTCTCTCCAAACCCAGACTTCTGGGGCTTCCCACCACATCTCTCAGTGAAGCCCTCCCAACACCACCATGTTCCCAGCCCCCAGCATTACCGAGACCTGAGCGCTGCTCCCAACCCCATGTGTGAGCCCCCTCCCCCATCTTCATCAGCAAACATTTATTAAACACCTACTACAGACCTTGTGCAATGGGGGAGGGAGGGTATAAGAGCTCTAAAGACCTTGTGTTAAGCTAAGAGTCACTACCTATCTCATTTCATCTCTCTTCAGAGCTTTTCTTCTCCTTTCAACTCTCGCCTGAAATCAGCAGCTCTAGTCCTTAAAAATTCCTGTCCTGTCACTTTCTCCCTCGAACTCTCTCCCTGTAAATCAAAGCCAGCTTCATGGACTTGGAATCTGCTCAGCTGAACAAGGTCTGTGCTCAGAAAGGCCTTGTTCTTGGTTTAGTGCTCTACTAGCACCATCTTGGTTCTTAATAATTTTATCTTTGAGCTTGTGCTTTGCAAGTGAAGTCCAATGGGACAAGAGAACATGCATGTGAAATGAGGAGATATGTATGCATAACATGGCATTCGTGGTGTTCCATGAGCACAGAACTCTGGTGCACCTACCATTCGTGGGAATTCGATGAGACTCCATGTGACTACAAGGTAAGTAAGTGTGTTATGTCTATACCTGAATAAGGGGGGGTGTGGACAGCTAGGAGGCCATTGTTTTCATTTGAAGCAGAACTTGCTTTGAACACAAAAAGAAGGCAATGGCCTTGTAGGAGACACAGATGACTAAGGTGTCCTATTATATTCTTTCTCCATCTTGTTACTTCCCTGATTTAGCCAACCACTTCTGTTGGCAATGATCACAGAGAGGGAAAAGGAAAGCTGAGGTAATCCATAATTCCTTTTTTTTTCAGTCCTTCTGTACTCATCAGAAAGCTGAAGGTGATGTTAATTTTTCTTTAGAACAATATTAAAAACACCATGCAAAGTTGAGAAAACAATGATGGAAGAAAGAAAAACATTTATGTTTTAGTACCTTGAATGGCCCTTGTTGCCTGGTTTTTTGAACAAGGGATCCCACATTTTTATTTTGAACTGCGCCCTGCAAATTACGCAACTGGCCTGGCTTCAGTCCTCCCTACAGCAGACTGTAGATAAAATTTTCTCAAAATACAGTTTTAATTAGGACACTTCTCAGCTCAAAGGTCTTCAATGGCTTCCTGTTACCTTGCAAGATGGACTCCTGATTGTTCAGTTTAACTTTCAGGGTACTCTACAATCTACGCCCGGCCTGTGTCCCCAACCTCCTTTCTCACTAGGACCCAACCAGTTCTTGCTGGAGCTGAGCCAGCCACTCCTGGGACAGGCTGTGCTTACTCCTGACTTCACACCTTTGTCCATTTCATTCCCTCATCCTGGAAGACTGCCCACCCTCAGAGTCCAGCCCCAATTCCCATTTATTCATTCAATGTGTATCTAATAAGCATTTGCTTAGAGCCAGGCGCTGTTCTGGTCCCTGTGCTCCCGGGGCTCCAATTCCAGTAAACAATAAAAACAAGCAAGTGAAATAATATAAATAATATGTATACTACAATACAGAAAAAAATAAAATAGGGTGATAGGCCAGAGAGTATCTGGATAGTCAGGGATGGCCTTACTGAGGTGACTTTTAAAGTGAGGCCTAAATGACCCATGGAGAGCCATGAGGAGACGTAGCAGAGCCTCTCAGGAGGAGGGAAGTGCAAGTGCAAAGACTGGGCTTCAATGAAGGAGTGTAAGATTGATACAGCAAGGGATCTGAGAGGTGGGCAGGGGCCAAATCATAAACGTCCTTGTAGGCCAAAGGGAGTAGTTTGGATTCAATACAACCATCACAGAAATAATTCTAGGGTTTTAAGCAGGGGAGTGACATGATTAAATTTAATGAAAAATCACCATGTCACCATGGCTGCTGTGTAGAGAGCGGACCAGTTAGGAGGGCTTTGCAGCATCCAAGCAGGAGATGCAGATGGCTTGGACCACAGTAGCAGGTTTGAAGATATTGTTTGAAACAAAAGGATGGGTTCTATTCTGAAAGTAGAGTAAAAACTCTTGTGTACTTTCTTTATCTTTTCAACCAGACTGTAAGCATTTTGAGAGTAGGCCTTTGTCTTGGACTTTGTATATATCCTCTATACCAAAGCAATTCACAGAGCTATTGAAGATAATGTCTAGTTGCGAATTGGGCTTAAATGTGAAAAGGCTCCTCTGCAAGAAACCTCAGGGAAGTAACCTGCCTTTTCCTTCGTCAGGCCACCATCAATCTGGAGAGACGAGGCCTGGCTACCTTCAACATACACAGCTTGGCAAACATAGGTCTAGGGGTGGCCCCCAGACTGCTGGTCAAGAAAAGAAAGAACAACTGTCTTCTGTGCACTTGGGGGGTTCTGGGGTAAGGCTGAAATACCTTTTGCTTCCACCCCTGCCTTCTTCTCCTGTAGGTGAGGATCAGCTTGAGGGTAGGGAGGAGGGAGCACATTCTAAATGCAGCATTGGTGTTCACAGGATAATGAGCTAAGGAAATGGTGCAGAGGAAAGGGCCGTTACAAACCTCCAACTTCTTTGTGGCATCCAGCCCTCCCCCCAGCATCTCCTGGAAGGAGGATGGGCACAAGAGGCCCCACAACCCTCTCCATATGCAGGGGTTTGTGCTTTTATCCTCCTCCCTGCCAAATCCCAGGGACTCAGCTGTTTGGGTTCCCAGCAAAAGGGGTCTTTGCAGAGATAAGAACAAGGAAAGAGTGCTCCAAAACACAGATATGGAGGGAAGGCATAAAAGGCTTATTATTTAATGGGGTCAGAGTTTCAGTTTTGCAAGATGAAGGGTGCTAGAGCAGGAGATGAACAACACTGCAAATTTTAATGCAACTGAACTGTACAGTGAAAAATGGTCAAGATGGTAATCTTGTGTTATATGTATTTTACCACATTTTAAGAGAGAGAGAGGGAAAGAAGAGAAAGAAAAAGTCCCAAGAAATAAAAAGTTCCTCTGCTAACTAGATCAAGCCCCAACTACTCAGCATACATATAAGGGAAGGCCTCTTGCTGTGTGACCCAAAAGTCTCCCAGTCTGCCCTCATTCCTTCTCAGCCTGTCCCTGGTTCAGCCACATCACAAACTCTTCCTCATCTTTTATACGTGGTAGGCTTATGTATTTCAAGATCTATGCACGAGGTTAATGATATCAACAAAAGCAACCTCTCTCATATATTGAGCACTTTCCGTATGCCAAGCACCGTGCTAGGCATTTGACCTACAAAATTGATTGAATCATCACAGCCAGCCTATGAGCAGAGTAACTTCCCTATTTTGTAGATGGGGAAACTGAAAGTTCAAGAGGTTTAGTCATTTGTTCAAGTTCACACATCTAATAACTCACGTCTTTGATCATCCTTGGAAGAACTTGCCACCAGTTTGTTTGGCACTTCACAAGAGATCTCTGCTAAAACATTCCGCATGTCTATCTCTCTCCTAAGATCCCTGTTCTCCAAGGCCAGGGCCAAGGCTTGACCATCTTTGGAGTCCTGTGGACTACCTAACACAGTACTTGGCATACTGTCAGCAGCCAATAAATGTTAGTTGAAAGAAAGAAGAAGAGAGAGAGAGAGAGAGAGAGTGTAAGTCCGGGGAGAGGAAATCTCGGGGCAAAATACTTCTAAAAACCGAAATCGGTCAAAGGGAGAAACAAAGTTTAAAACCCATTTATTGCTTACAAACTGTAGTCCAGGGTTGTCTCTCTCCTCTGCTCCAGAAGAAGAGAGCAAGCAAGCCAGCCCCTCCCTTTAAACTCGCAGGTTCAGACACGCCCTTGGTTGCCCAGGTAATTACCCACTGACATGGAGATGAACTCTCCACCCCTGAGGATATGCAAATGTACCAAAACCAGGTGAGATACTCTGGCAATGTTAAAATTTTACCCATAGGCCATCCCTCCAGAAATCTGGCTTTACAATCTACTCGTTCCCCTTCTTCCGCAATGGTCCCTGGGCAAAAAAACTGGAGATTGTGATCAGACTAATGACATAACAATAGCAACAGCAATAAAATTATGACAATCCTCAAGCCAGACGATTCAGCTAGGTTCAAAGTCTTAGGCAGATTAAGTCCACAGCTCATCCACTCCATAGGCGGGCAGTAGCTGAGGGTTCACAGCAATCATCACGCGGCAGCTGCAGCCAGGGAGCGCATTCAGGCCACAAGGACTGTAGGAGAAAATAACCTTAAGAGCGGTAAGATACATGTTTTAATGATACCAGCAGAGGCAAATCTTGTCCATCAGGTAGGATACATGCAAGAGAGCGGTCTTGTGATAAAACAGTAGCAGGAATGGGATCTCGTCCTGGTCTAGTATACCAGACTTTCCCCCCACTCCCTGTGGGAGTTACAGATGGGTCAATATATAGGGCTATGGGAGGTACATGCACTGGCCATAAAGATAAAACAAAACTTCCCCACAAGATGCTCTTACCTCCTGGATGTTTTGGGTACACTACAGTGACCTTTGGGGGCCATTCAGCTGTTACTCCAGGAATACACACAAGGCCAGCTTCCAGGCCTTTCCCCCAAGGTGCCAGAAGGGCCAGCCATTGCTGGTCCATGTATTGAAATGTCCAGGACAAGGTCCATTCAACAGTGTCTCCAGGGCTTACTGCAGTTGGGGCAGGAAGCAGGATGTTGCTCTGCTGGCCATATCCTGGCTTCAGTAGCTCTTCTTTGGTTTGGATGTACAACTGTATAGGAGAGGCAGCAAGGTGTGAGCACATCCACAGGGCTCAAAGCTCCTTTATGTGGCTTCTCATTCAAGCACTGCAGCACCGTCCATAGGTGAACTGAACTGACCAACCCTGTAGACTATTGGTGTCTGACTTGAGGTCAGATTTCAACAAACTGTTGTACCTCTCTATCATGCCTGCCCCAGTAGTGTTGTATGGTACATGAAATTTCCACTTTATTCCTAATTGCTGCACCCATTCTTGTAACGCATGTCCAGTAAGTGGGTGGCTTAATCGTTCTCAATCACCTGCGGCCGGCCATAGGCTGCAAAGAGACACTCCAGGCCCCTCTTAGTGGTTTGCTGATCTGCATGACGTGCAGGAAAAGCAACCAATAGTCCAGTAACTGTGTCCACACAAGTCATGGCATACAGATATCCTTCTGATATGGGCAAAGGCCCAATATAGTCCATTTGCCACTTGACAAGGGGTATTGGCTCCCTTACTTTGTCCCATGTTGCTGTGGGACACAGTGTAAGTCCCTCTTGGAGCACACAGGGCACTCCTTCTGGGCTCTGCTGACTTCTTCAAAGTTCAATGGCAAGCCCCACCTATGGGCTACAGTGTGCAAATGCTGGTGCAGCCATTGGGCCACATCAGAGGCAGGCGTTCCTTCTTGCCAGCACACCTGGGCCAATGTGTCTGCTTCATCATTCCCTGGAGATACCAAAGGAAATGTCCAGTCACATGATATACAGTAACAGTTTTAGTCTGACCAGAGGCCCACAGGTCTTGCCACAACTCTTGCCTCCACAGGGGCTGGTGACCAACCATCCAGTTGGCATGATACCATGTCAGTAGCCACAGGGTCAAGCCCCAATATACGGCCCAGCCATCAGTGCAGACAACTATGGTGGAAGGCTCCTGGGTGATCACGACCCATACTGCCTGCAACTCAGCCCATTGACTGCTCTTCCCCTCTCCATCCTCTATCCATAGTGTCTCAGTCTTAGGATGGAAAGCCACAGCCCTCCACTTCGGGGGCTGCCCATGACTGGAGCCTTCTGTGTACCAAGCATCTTCAGGTATAGGGGCTTTTCCCTCCTAATAGGAAGTCTCGGCTACCAATGGCTCAAAAGCAAGTTCTTCCTGCTTTCCACTGGTATAGGTCACTGGCCCCAATAAGCGTTGGAGTTCTCTACTTAAGGGGCTAGTAGAGAGGGCACTGTGCTGCTGTAAATATGCACCCCATTTGGCCAGTGTAGGTGTCTGTGCCATGCCACTCTGTGGCCTTTGGGTCCAGTCTCACACCCACCCTGCGATAGGGATAGGTGGTTATTACCTTGGTCAGAGCTGTTCCAGCAATGGGCTCCGTAGCCAGCAAGGTGTGGTGCACAGTAGCCAGTTGCTTCTCTATCAAGGTGTACCGGACCTCTGCTCCTTTCCCTAGTTGTGACCAGAATCCAATAGGTTGGCGTGTCTGTTCAAGCTTCTGTCAAAGACTCCATCCATAACCATCTTCGGTTACATGAACATCTAGTTCACAGGACCTTGATGAGTCCATTACTTTCAAGGCCTGTACAGCCTTGACTGCCTGCCTGGCAGTAGTAAAAGCAGCCGCACATGTCTCATCCCAGCCCCAAATGATGCCCTTTCGTACCAACCAGTGTAAGGACTTCAGAATTTGTGCCAAGTGCAGGATAAACACTCTCCAGTAGCCCAAAAGACCCAAAAACTCTTGTAGTACTGCCACAGTGGTAGGGGTGAGGAAAGCCTGGACCTTGTCTATAACTGCTTCACGAACAACTTTAGTTTTACCTGACCAGCCAACCCCCAAGAACTTCACAGACAAACCAGGTCCCTGAACCTTGGTGCTGTTCACAGCCCATTCTTTTTCCTATAGATGCTGCAATAGTCTAGGAACTGCCACTTCTAAATCTGAAAGAGAATCAGATGTGAGCATAATATCATCAATGTAGTGATACAACCACACTGTTTGCAGTTTCTTCCATGTGGCCAAGTCCTGGGCTACAAGTCCATGATAGATGGTGGGACTGTGGAAATATCCCTATGGAAAGACAGTGAGTATCCACCGTTGCCTTCCCACGTGAAGGCAAACTGTTGCTCACTTTCCTGTGCTATGTCAATAGAGAAGAAAGCATTAGCAAGGTCTACTACATAATGATATGTTCCCAGCTCACGGCTGAGAATGTCTGCTATAGAGGGGACAGCAGCATGCAAAGGGGGTGTGACTTTATTCAATTTCCTGTAGTCCAGTCATATGCCAGGAGCCGTCTGGCTTTCTCACTGGTCACACTGGGGAATTAAAAGGACTATAAGTGGGCTTTATGATACCCACCCTCTCCAACTCCTATAGAGTTTCTCCAATTTCCTTGTGCCCCTCAGGTAATTTATACTGCTTAGTATTTGTCACCCGCCGAGGTACAGGCAGAGCTACAGATGGGTGCTTAGCATGTCCCCTCAGAACTGCCTTTACCACTCGTACCCTCAGTCTGAACTCACCTGCAGTGGTCTGTAACCACAAGCCCTGCAGAATATCTACCCCCAAAATATATTCAAGGATGGGAGAAATGTCCACAGTATACTCCTCTGGGGGTAAATGCCCTATCCCCATGAGATTTGGGCTTTCTTCACTCTAATTGCCTTCCCCCCATAGCCATCTGTCACAGCAGGGGTCCTGGGAAACCACTCAGGGTTGCCATGAATCAAAGAACACTCAGCTCCTGTGTCCACCAGCACCGGGACACGTTGTACATCCACAGGGGACCAATGAATTACTAATTCTACATGTGGCCTCTGGTCCCCACCATGTCCCCCAAGGTGGGGACTTTGACTCCCCCCCACCCCAGTCAAACTGCGATGCCCAATCATCCTCCTGTGGGGGTGAGGGCTCAGGTGAATCCTGAGTACTGTCTCCCCTGAAGTTTTGCAGTGACACAGGCCAGGCATGAGGCCTTGAGTCTGGTTTCCTGGACCTCAGCGGCTGGAACTGCTGCTCTGACTTTAATTGGTGCCACAGTTCTAACAATATTCCATTGGGCTGCCCATCGAGTTTGTCTTTCACTACACCAGCCTTTATCAAATCAACCTACATCTGGGTCCTCCAGACCTTCACGGGGCCTTTTGCACCTCTCCCTGTAGTCGTGACCCGTACTTCCCTCCCTGCCCTTCTTGTTTCAACCTCCCCCAGATCTGCTAAAGTACAAGTAGCCTCATTCATGGGTTGCCCTAGGTGGGCGGCAAGAGTATTCACTAGGGACCCAAAGAAAGATGTGGGAGCTGTATGCAGCACCAGGTTTCTCACTCCTATAGTGAACACCTCCTCTTCAGGGCCCTGGGGTCCATATTATAGGTGACTTTTTTAATACCCAATTCCCGCAGAACCTGTTGTAGCTCTGCATACGTTTTCCAACTACTGGGAAAATGTGGTAGATCACCCTGATCAGGCCAAACTATCCTGATGGCAGCTGTCAGCCATTCCAGGAGTGTCTGGTTCCCTGAGGCATGACGGGTATTTTGCAACCGCTGCCAGAGGGAAGGGTTAGTTGTTAGGGAAGCCATTCTACTCATCTCAGTACCCCACATAACAATGTTTTCCACACCCATAGACCACAGACATAAAAGCCATGCAGGCAGAGATTCCGATGGCCTCTGCCTATACTGGACGCTCATGTCCACCAGCTCATCCTGGGTATAGGGGCAGAGCATAGAGTGCTGCACAAGCTGGGGAGGGGGCTGCTCCTCCCACTGAGGAGCTCGCAGTTGTTTCATTTTTATTTTCTTAATTACAGCTGAGTGGGCCCTTAAAAGAGAAGATGGTACATCCGGCGGTGGCCTAGATAGCAAATCTGCCAATGGCCCCACCTCCTCCTCTTCTCCCGTGAGCTTCTCCACCAACGGCTCCATCTCCTGGGGCTGAAGGCACCACTCTTTCCTCCCCCTCCCCCATGGCCTCCTGCCACTCGGCTTTTCCTGCTGCCTCCCCGCTTGGCGCTAAGGAGTCTTCCAGGAGCGTGACCTGTCTTTTCAGTAAGTGTCTCTCTTCTTTAAGGGCATCCCAGAGGTTATCGCCCAGCTCCTCCAAGCAATGCTGAAGTGTGTCTCTCTCCCGCCTAAGTCCCTCTCTCTCCTTGCTAACCCTGTCAATAATCCTCTCTTTCTCCTGCATAACATTTTCCACTATCTGGATGAAATGAGACCCTACAATGCCAGCTGCTACATGCCCCCCTAAGGTCTCCAAAAAGTCTTCCAACTCACAGAGGGCTAATTCTGTAGCTTCTGGTGTTTCCACCTCTAGGGGTGCTTTACCCTAGACCAGTTAGCCACTAGGGGTTCCCAAGTTGGAAGCGCCACAGCTGGGGGGTTAATAACAGGTGAAGTAGCACCCTCTGCCGCTGCATCCGCTGGGGCCTCCCCACCATCCACAGGAGCAGCCCTCCCAAAGGTCGCACCAATTATGACAGATTTCTGGTTCACCGGCCTGTGAGAGCCAGTGGGAGCTGACTTTGGTAAGTCCAGTTGGCAAATCCAGTTGGGTTTCACGGGGACCAACCCCTCACTTCCTTTTTGTACTTTCACAGAGCCCCCGATGCCTGCTCTTTGTGCTCTCATTCTCCCTTTAAAATGTCTGATCACCTCTTTAGAAATCCCCCTTGAGTACAGTTCATGATGGACTCTTTCCCCCATACTATTGCAATAGTATATTACTGATTGAAATTTGTCTTTACCACTTTTAGTAGCCTCTGGCTGCTTGTTTATTTTTGACAACGGGAGGTATCTGGGATCAGCCATTTATTTGTTTTAGTTAATTAATTAGTTACTATTATTTTTCAGGATAACTTCTGAAAAAAGTTTATTTTTCACAAGCTCCAAGTGTTTCTCCAGTCACCTCTGGGGATGAGTACATGCCATCCGCATCCACTATCTCATCTGTTTTCCAGCTAGAATGACACCTTTCCAGGTTTCTGACTTAGCTAGCTCTTTTACAAAGACTTGAACACCCATAAGGCTACAAAAAAAGTAGGGTGCTAGGATCCCTCCGAGTACAGGTGGGGTCTTCTCACCATACCTGTAATATGGAGGATGCTGAGTGGCACTGGCTGGCTCTAAACACCAATTTCTACCCCCTTCTCTGCAGGTGCTGGAAGCCCAGGAACCACATTTCACAGATTCCCCTGACAGCAGAGTTCCACCAATAAAATGTGTGAAATTCGGAGGGTAGAAAGGAGGTGGGGGCCATTCTTTCCTCCTCTGCAGCAGCAGATGTACAGGCTGCATGTTGGCCTCCATACTCTCCCACCAGTCACCAGCCTCGTGGCTGTGGGGCATCAGTGACCTCAGCAGTAGTTTCCAGAAGTTTCCTGAGCTCTGAGTAGCAGCAACTGCAAGTCTATGGAAAGCAGCTACAGCAAAGTAAACTGAAAGCTAGTGGGGTGCAGTCCCCTGGCCCTCAACTTTCTCCACCACTAGCCCCTCCAATGATAACAATTAATTACTTGTATACAAGCTTTTTTTTTTTGCTTGAGATATCTACAGTGGTTTCTGTTTTCCTGTCTCTGGTAACTGTAAAATATCTCTGCAAATTCTTTAACTCTTCTTTCTTCAAAAAGTTTGAACATGAGCTGGATTTAGTGACTGACTTCTAACTATTCATGTTATGTGACAGAAGTGAAGTTATGTGTTTTCTGAGGCTAGGTCATGAAAAGGGTAATTTCCACCTGTCAGTCTCTCTTGATTGCTCACTCTGGAGGAGGCCAGCCATTATGATTTGAGGACATTAATCACATAGCATGGGGACAGGCCCACATGGGGAGGACTGCGGCTCCACCCAACAGCCAGTAGCTGTGCAAGTGAGCAGCCCCCTTGGAAGCTGTGTGAGCAGCACACCACCTTGGAAGTGGACCTCCAGCCTCAGTCAAGCCCTCAGATGACTGCAGCCCTGGCAGATATCTTGAGACCCTCATGAAAGACCCAGAGCCAGAACTGCCCAAACTACTCCTGAATTCTTGGCTCACAGAAATTGTGAGGAATAATGTTTATTGTTATTTTAAGCCACTACTTTGGTGTGATCTGTTACAGAGCACCAAATAATCAATACACTGTCCAATACAGGAGTTGAGCTAGACAGACTTGAGACTCTCTGAGCGGGTATAGTCATGAATGATGCCCATGGGTGGTTGGGGACTTTGGCTCTAAGCTCTTCCCTACCATATTTGCCATGCCAACAACCCATAGATTTTCCTGGTCACAACGTTCCTTGACCTCCTGTTATGTGAAGAGTAGTACCAAATGTGCAAATATAAAGTATGGTTTTATTGTTTCTCAGGGAAACTTACAAAGAGAATGGTAATAGGGAATTAGGCCAGACTTAGCTGAACCATGTGTCCATTGGCTAGGGGTCCAGTAGGGAGGGAGCCTGCCTGGAATGTATCATGTTTATAGGATGGCAAGGTAGGGAACATCTACACCACTAATAGAGGAAACTGCATGATGAAAGAAATGATCTCATTAGAAAGGTGGAATCTGTTTTTCCATTGAGCTGGTTGGTACCTGCTGAACTAGCTCTGTGCTGAGCTGCTGAAAGGGGAAAGGAAATGAATCTCCAAGACTATCCAACTGGCTTCACTTCTAGATTCCTGACACCTCACTGATCCCCATTCCTAGCTGATGCACGGACCTTATCATCATCTAGAGTTCACCATAAAGATAACCAAAGTCCAATCATTCACTCTCTGAACATAAGCTCTTGTCCTTCCAGGACTCACTCAAGTAGATCCACTGTCCCAGGTTCTTTACCTGCATCAAAGCCTCCTATCTGGTGCCCCATTTTCTCCTAGTTCCTATTTATCTAAACCCCCAAGTGGCCTCTCTACTTCTAGGCCACCAGCAAATTACTCCTACAACTCCTCAAACTTGATCATGTCTCTTCTCTGCCTAAAACATCAGTAGTTCTTGCTTTGTTTGGTCAAGTCCATGCACCTTCACCAGGTTTCCTGGGACCGGCTCCCTGCTCACCTGCACAGCCTCATGGGCTGCCTTTTCCTGCTCCATAACACCAGCCTGCACATGGTTCAAGCACTCCCGAGGTTTCCTGCTTCTCTGCCTGTGACCTGTCCTCTGTCTAGAATGCCTTTCCTTCATCTTGTCAGCCTAAACTTCTGCTTGGCTTTCTTCTACATCCCCCACTCCAAGCCATCCCTCACAGCTACTCCCTTCCAGCCAACCAAGAGCTGAACCACTCCTTGGTACCCTGCCCTTGTCAAGTCCAACACACTGTCTTCTACATTTATCTGCAGGTCTGTGTCCCTCCTCCCAGACATAGGGGCACCTTGAGGGTAGGAACTTTGTCCTAGTCGGCTCTGTCCCCAGCACCAGGCACAGTGTGGGGCATATAATCCAGGCCAGCTCAAGTTCCACAAGCTCCATGAACTCTCCCTAGCTTTCCTAACTTCCCTCCTCTGAATCCCTATAACATTTATTTTCTGTCTCATTTCATTATCTTTTAAAAGATAGCTCATTTCTCTGACAGGTTTCAGAAGGAGACTTTTCATTCACTTAGTAGTTAGTGGCCCTGTGTGCCCCTCTCTCCTGTCACTCAGATCTCAGTGAGGAGCTGGGCTGAGCTAATTTGCCCATCAGTAAGGAGGAGGAGCAGCCCTATGCAGCCATGTTGGTCCCCCTGACCCTGGGCACCTGTCCCTCCTTCCAGGCCACAGTCAGAGTTGTGGGGAGAGACAGCTGACCCACAGGCTGGCCTGGGAAAGCTCTAGGCTCTGGCAAAAACACTTCCCAATCTAGGTCAACCTGGGCAAAGCAGAGTCTTATTCTTGAGAATTTAAATTTAGAAATATAGTACAGTAGCATTTGAGGCTAATAAGAATTGTACAAATTTGAGGTAGTGTTATATAAAAAAGATATTATCTAAGCCTCACTTTCTGTACCAACTTTGAAATAAGGGAACTATCCCAGAATAGGAACCTGGAGCTGCTGGCAATCCCGGTCCACATGTTGGGAAGCCCAGCGGTACCAGCCTCTCTAGTCTTGTTTTTTTTCCTGCTCCCTATCTTTGTGTCCACCTGTCTTATTAGGATCAACCCCTCATACAGGATCAACAATAGCTCATACAGAGTTGGAGCTAGTCTAGGGAGTTTCTGCCCTTGTGACCTAACAGTGTAACTAAGGTGCCTAGGATGATATGTGGCCCACAGAAGGGGCTCAATCGGCATAGATGCCATCATCCTCATCATCAATATTATTAGTATTGTTTTGACTCTTTGATAATGACCATGGCTTATACTTCTCCATATCCCTATACCCTCCCACAGGGCAATGTAATGGTTAGCAGGCTTTGGAGTCTTAACAGTCTGGAGTTTAAGCCTTAACTTGTAGTTTTGAATGGTGACCTGGAGCCCCTAAGCAGGTTACCTACATTCTTTAAGCCCTGTTTCCTTATGTCTCAAATGAGGAAGATAAAATATGCTTCCATGGATTGTTGGGCTAAATGAAACTGTAAAATGCCTAACCTGGGGCCTGGCACCAAGTAAGCAAATAGTAAATGTTAGCTGCTGCTTCTATTATTACTAGTATTTAGTCTTGTGCTTTAAGCACAGTAAATATTTGTTGGCTCACTGAAGTCACCACACAGAGAAAAACACTTGTCACTCTCAGTGAGAAGCTTGGGAGGTCAGGCACCAAGGGAACAGGGGTCTCTCGCCCAGCATCAGGAAACGAATAAACCAGATGAGGAATAACAGGCTGCTCGCTTTGCTTAGAATGTCACCTCACCAGCAAAATATGCTGGGCTGCTTCCCCCTCGCACTGCAATGCTGGGGAGCTCTGAGCTGTGGTCCCATGGTTGACACCACTCTCCCTGTCATCATTACTAAACCACCAGCATTTATTTGTGGCCATTTAGGTAGATTATCAAAGCTTGTTCACACAGTTTCTTTTACTCACTAATGTATTTAACTTACTGATTTAACTAAAAGTAATTCATTAATGACTTTCTTTGCAGAAAGAGTGGAGGAACCTTTGCATCTTCTACAGATTGCACTGTGTTATCACTTGGATTCATGCAGCCAGGGATCAGTGTTGGATAAGGAAGGAAGTGGGTGGGTTTGGAGCTGGGCTGAGCTGGAGGGAGCCGAGCAGCATGCACCTGACCCTCAATCAGGTCAGGAGAGCCCAGGGCAGTACAAGGGACTGGATGTTTTCTGAAAGAAGGCCTGCGCACTGCAGTCTTGGGCAATTATTGCCTTTACCCTATCCCTCCAACACCTCCCTGCCAGCTAGCTATCCAAGGGTTGGGATTTTTTAAAAGGAAAAAAAAACCCCAATGTGAATCTTCTTCAACTAGCTGTTGAGGGTGAAGAGCCGCCTACTAGCAAGCTAGGGCCCCTGCACTGCACGAGTGTGAAAGCCTGCGAAACAGGCCTTGGCCCGGCAGCCAGCGGAGCCGGGCTCACAGATCCCGGTCTCCTGGCAACAGCAAGGACCCTGTGAGAGAGGCCGGAAGTGGGTGATCCTCTGTGCGCAAGAGGTCAGGAGGTTGTAAAGAACTGGTACTTGACGAACCAGGGAAGAGAGAGCCCCAGACTAAAATGTTATTTAATTTAATAATCTACACTCCTTGAGGACTGATATGTTTTCCAGTTTCCAGGGACTGATGATATTGGGGAAATGAGGGAGGAAACCTCATTTGTCCTTCTTTGCCTGTATTACCTCTTGTGGAAGGAGTGGCTGCAATGTGGGAATCTGGCCTCAGCCTTGCTTTTCTTGCCTACAGCATTTGTTATTTGCATATAAAGTAAAAATTTAACAATTTGTGCTTTACCGGATGGCTAGGATGGTTATGAGTTTATACATTTCAATGAGAGAAAATTATATATTTTATTGACAATATTAGAAATGCTGTGGGTGGCCTGGGGCAGGCTGGGGCTCATTCTGTAGTGGTGGGGTCTTGTGCTTCACTCTCCTCCCCAGGCTCTTCAGCGGCCCACCCTGAAGTCACAGCCTCCCCTATTAGCACTTCACTGAGCTCCCTGAGGCAAGAAGAATAATGCCAAGTCTTTTACTCTTGAGAGAAATAATAAAAATTTTTGTTATTACCTCATTTTAGATAAGAATTTTAAATTGTCCCCAATCTTTTACCCTCCATCTTTTCTGACAATCTCATTCCCATCAGAATCTGGGTTATGTAGTTTCTGTGGCACA